TGGTTTATATTGTTGAGAGAATTGTAAAACCACTTATTACCTACTAAATTCACCTATTGAATTTATCTTGTAGTACACGCAGAGCCGCAGCTTTGTTTGCTCACAAGCGCGCAAAATGGAGTTAGAACCAACCAGAACAATCAGAACTCCATTTTGCGCGAATTTTGGAACGTCAACTCGAAATGCAAAAATTTGTCACCACGAGGAATCGAACTAGGGACCCCTTTTCTGGTATTCAGAGGGCCGTTCAGGAAAAATTAAACATGGTTCTGTGGTTCCCGCATCTGCCCCTATATCATGCAAAAGACCGTTTTCAAAAAGCTTGTCACGCCCTGAAAGACCTTCCTGGTAAGACAGGCGTATACTAATGAGAAATACACTGATACCGCTATACTGTTACTCACGCGAAAACATGCTTCCTTGTGGCTCAAAATATTCGCCGGGAAATGGTGGGACGACTGACATCTGTACACCCATGCTGAAATAAAAAAGAACAGGATTGGAAATGAAGTCATTATCAGGAAAACCGTGAAAATCACCATGAGATAGCCTAGCTCTTTAGGAAATGCTATAATCCGACCAGAGAAGGTCATTAGGCCAACCCGGTCCAATTGAAATGAGGTGTACATTTCAATACGCGTCTTGAGACGCTGAACTCAAATCTGCTTTCCGTATCTGCTAAACTCTTCTCTGAAAGGAGTTACGGAGGGTTTTCTTTCCGCCTCACTTTTCAGTGTTTTGCCTGCAATCACAAGCAGGCTCCGTTATAAACGACACGAAGATCCAGCGTTCCGAGTTTCACTGACACAGCTGGTAGTGAGCTTGCTTCTCGAGCAAGAGATTGCGGGTTCGGTTTATCCCAAAGTTGCTGTTTAGCTTTCTTCCAACATAGCTGGGAAAGCCTTTTTGATTACGTTATTTTATCAACTGTCGCCCAAAGCTACGTCTTGAATAGCTTTGCAAGCAGATCTTCTTATGTCTGAGCACTACTTGCTCATGATGCCCATGGTGCACGTGGTGCAGATTCGAGGCTTCTCCGAGGGAAACAGGTATGGTATCCGTTCCCAAGGGACCGAACTATTTATCTGAATTTCTGGCCAAACCTATAATTCGACCTAAATGCGAAAACGAGAAGCACAATGTTACCGGGCCCCAAACAGCACTTCTAGAGATGACGAATTTTGGGCGACGGGGGAAAGGGTAGAGAGCAGGGTCAACCGTCACGTTCGAACATTTTCGGGATTTTTGCGACCCCCTGTTTTTGTTAATAAGAGTGCTAGACATGAATCCGTTGCGCCAGAAAGCGTCTGTGCCGCCGCAGACAGCGTCTGCATTGCGCGTCAGCCTTGGAGCGCGGCAGGTATCACCCGGGCGCTGGAAGAACGGGACGCGGCGAAGAAAAAATTTTAGAGGGGAATAACTTTCTTGGGACGTATTTTTTTGACTTGTTGAGGTAGATTTTGATTGTGCCTGAGGTGCGCTTTCAGAAAACTACAAGGATTGCCTAACTCTCCGGAAAGTACTTCTGTTAGAAGTGGAAAACCCAAAATTCTAAGAAGGCGCACCTTCAACTTTGAAGGCCCATAAAATCTTTCGTATGCGACATTTTGGAAATCTGTAAAAAGTTTCAGAAACTTCAAATATTTCTCTAACAAAACAGTATAAAAGTTTAGTGATTGTCCCCTTTTTCAAAAAATTGTCCCGTTCGAACATTTTTCGTGCAAAAGCGAGTTTTTGGGCTTTCAGCGACCATAACTCACTTCATTTTCATTTCTGTGATGCACTTTTTTCATGGGGTGAAAGTACAGGATTTGCTCTTTCTAACAAGCCCAAACCGTTTTTCAAAGTTCATTTTTCGAGAAAATCACACGTTCGAACATTTTGGGGGGTTTTGCCGAACACTTTTTTTGAAATCGCGAGTTTTTGGGCTTTAAGCGGGCATAACTCACTTCATTTTCATTTCTGTGATGCACTTTTTCATGGGGTGAAAGTACAGGATTTGCTCTTTCTAACAAGCCCTAAACCGTTTTTCAAAGTTCATTTTTCGAGAAAATCACACGTTCGAACATTTTGGGGGGTTTTGCCGAACACTTTTTTGAAATCGCGAGTTTTTGGGCTTTCAGCGGGCATAACTCACCTTCATTTTCACTTCTGTGATGCATTTTTTCATGAGGTGAAAGT